CAAATCTCCTGGCAGAGCACAGCTTCTTCTAAGCATCCACTTACTTCAGACGTAGGGCGGGGGCATCTCTCCCTCCCCGCAAAACACAATTTCTTCTYAGCATCAACTYGCTTCAAAACGTCGTGGGGGGGGCAAGCCTCTTCCCCCTTTTTGGCTCCTGATMAGTTCAGTCCAGTCCTCAAAGGCCAGGTTTTTTTACCTCAGAGCAAGGTCGCTCTCTTTTCTATACAGGTCTCTCATTGACGAAATAGTCCTTTCGAGACCAACTTATTTTCTCCATGTTCAAGAACCACAGCAACAGCACAGCAACCCAYCCCATCTTCTCCTTACTGTGATCTTCGGTCTCCACGAAGATCTTCTTCTTACATCTCCTCACCCTCCTGCTCTGTTTTTTCCCCAGTGCATGATACTAAAACTAAATACTAACAACCTAAAAACTACATGGTGGCCACCCCTATCTTGTTTGAATTCTTTCTTAAGTACAAGACAATACGTCATCACAGAGGTGTAACCAACCTGTGCAATTGGCCCAGGCCTGATGATCAGCCTGTCCGTCAGCCTCAGAGCCATGATGGATTGGCTCTAAAACACAGGGGGTAGGGCTCCTTTCGCTGGAGAAGAAGGAGAAAGTTTCTAGAACTTACTCACAGGAGCCATCTTTGTGGTTTCTTGGTCCCATCCCCCCACCACCAAAAAATCGGACCGAGTAAAACCATGACATWGACCTCATCCAGAAGGGACTTGATGACCTTGTCAGTCATAAAAGATATCAAAAGTATTAGAAGAGATAATAGGCAACTATTAAAAGTATTTACCCTTGGCTTGTCTGAAATTTCGGGAATGTATTCAGAAGAATTAACCTCAAATACAACATCAGCAGGTTTTTCCTTATCTGTTGGGCAGTTTCTCTGACACTTTCATTAAAATTTTAGCAAAATACTTGCTTATTCTCTTGTTAGGAGAACAAATCTGCAACTCAGCATGGAGTGTAACTTTTTAGCTTATATGAAGACCTTATGATTTTGTGCCTTTTCTGCCTTTTTTTTCCTTGTAAGCCTTTTATTATAATGTCTTCTTTGTGCCAGCTTTGAGTAGTTTCTCACAAACAGATTTCATGAAATCTTGTGAGTAGGTCTCATTGAGCTTCTTGCAGAAGTTCTGTTAGAATTTTAAATTTTACTGCTTCAAACATGAACTAAAAGCACCCTGCCAGTGCTGTCATTTTGAAGCCAGTGACCAGTGTGAAGCTTACATTTTTTCTAATAGTAATAGTCACTGTGCTTATGAATAAAGGGTCGCCTTCATGAGCAGAAGATGAAAGAAGCCAACCATGCTGCTGCTGTGCAAATCTTTGAGAGAGTAAATACCTCCTTGCTGCCTATGAATGTGTTGGATTTGCATGGTCTCCATGTGGATGAAGCTGTGAATCAGTTGTCCAGAGTGCTGCAGGAAAAAACTGAAGGTAGGATTTACGTAATAATTCTTGCACCTTAAAAACTAATCTCCTCATTTTCTATTAAGAAATCATGATGCATGGCAATATTAAGGGGAATGCATGTTTTTAACATGTATGTTAAAAACAACTAGGCTTTGTGTTGTCTACTTTSAAAATACCCAATGGAATTGCTTTTCTTTGACATGACAATGGTTCTTTTTGCTTTCTGTCTTGCCCTCCTCCCCTTCTTTGTACATCTTCCTCTTCCTTCTGTTTAATCCCTTTTTTATTATTATTATTGGATACTTGGTCTATCTTTCCTGACATTTTTAACTGAGGTGATAATGCAAACAATATGTGTCACCATTACATTGCTTTGTCATGATTATGTTGCTTTTTTAATCTTAAAAGTTATTATGTTGGAATTCTAACCAGAATGATGATATTTCTTCAACTYGTACCTGAAGGTGTGTGCTTTGAGCTACCTTTCAGAAACTGTATCAGTTTGTTGGCAGTATCTTTTGAGATCAGAATACCGCTGCTTCCAGAAATGCCATTTTATGCAGTTCTTTTTGAGGGCTCATTTTTTCTTGTTGTGGAGTATTCAAGTACTTCATGAGTGTTCACGCTGTAAAAAGATACATTTTTTGCATTACTACTTCATCCTCTAAATTTGAGTGCACTGGGAATGCATGGTGCTACTACACAAACCTGATTTTTTGAATTCAGCTACTCCACAAAGTATAAACAAAAGTGCTCAGTGGGGCTCTAGATAACCCTTTTCTTTCAATATACATCAGAGATAATGAAATTCCATTATCTTGTGCTATTCCTACAATGACATTTGTGTAATTTGAATTGTAACCTAATGCCTTATAGAACAAGAATTGCACTTAGATCAGGAATCCTGAAATTGATAGCAGGGCTTCTCTGTTCAGTCCATTCACCTAAATCTAAAAAAAAAAAAAAAAAAAAGAAATTAATTTCATTGTACATACATGGGAAAAGGATTGGTACTGAGAACATTTTGCTGGCAGAATTAACAGTAAATAAATATAAAACCTAAATAAAGTTCGTTGGGGGGGTTGTTGAAGAAAAATGGCATGTGAACTGTTCGTTCCAAACTGGCAAATCTTGACTTGTTGTAAGAACCCAATTTATTTTTTCCTCTCTTTCAAACTCTTTATCAGTTTTGGTTGCTGTTATCTCTGGGAAGAGAGCAGTTTCTTTTGTTATCAGGGCTAGGTGCCTAATAAAGCTCATGGAATGTGTTGATCTGTTGATTTCCATGCTCCACTGTAGCAGAAGATAGTCCAAATAATGTGACATAAGTGTAAAAAACTCCTGGATTTATATTTTCTTTCTTCTTCATTTCTTTATTCAATAAAATTTTGTTTCTTTATTCACATTAATTTAATGTAAAACATGAAACAACACAGAAGCACCACTTAATAATTAAGTAAATTACACCCACCTCTTTTAATTGTGCAATTTAAATTTATATCACAGGATGTAAATTCCAATTGAATACTAGATGACAGAAACAGTAAAGCTATGAAATTAGAAGCATGAAATTGTGATGATCACAATATTCGTATTGCAAGTAATCTTGATTTTAAAAGGTTGACTTTTTCAGAACAGGGATAAAATTGCTATTTTTATGTAAAATAWGCATATCAGCATGGGAAAACAAAGTTCTAAGTGACCAGTGAGAGTTTTCAGAACAATGCATGGAAGGGCTATACGGAATGCCAAGTCTCTGCTGAGGGAATATTTTAACGGTTACAATTCCTGCTGTTGCAGAGTACCAGCAGACTGGTGGTAAACCATATCTCATTGTTATCACGGGAAGAGGAAGCCATAGTCAGGGAGGAGTTGCTCGCATCAGACCAGCAGCTATCAGATACCTCACAAGCCACAACTTCAGGTGAGTTTAGATTTTTGTGACTGATAATTTTTTTTTTCYTAACCCACATTAAACTAATTGAAGTTAGCTTTAGAATGCTGTTAAACTATACACAGAGCAGGGCAAGTCTGCTGTTCATATTAAATTAAGTCTGTTGTTTCACAAATCCAGTGCAATTGTGTAGCACCTATTAAAGGTTAGATTCTTTCCTCTGAGATAGTTTAATTGCRTTTAACATTCAAGATTGTTAGCTTTACTGTGAAAAGTTGTTAATCCTGCTCTTYGTTGGTCTCCAATGCTTGCATTTGTGCTTAGTTTATGAGGGATAGCAATTTAGCAGTCTGGGCTGGCACCAATGTATTTGCTGCTTTTTATATAGAGCAGTGCAGGAAGGTGAGCATGAAGGTGAGGCTCAAAAGTAGCAATGACTTCCCATTCTTGCTTTCTACAGAATACAAGAGGGAAAACCCATTTTGAAAGAAGAGGGAATGAAAGGGGAGCAGGAATAGAGGAATAGAACAAATAGAACCAAGAATATTGGGCAGCTTTTTTTTTTTTTCCTCCTCAAATCTTCAACTTAGTTCCTGCTGTTTCCAGATTTTTGTAGGTCCAGACCCTGTAAAATCCTCCTTTTTTGTCACATCAGAGGACAAATGCTAATTTCCTGACTCACATGCACATATACTTGACTGAGAACCTTATCACTTTCCATATGTTTGATGAGAATTGAAGGCGATTATACTGCACATAGTTTACATGTTGAAGCTTCTCTTTTTTTGTTTCATAGGTTCACAGAAATAAAACCAGGCTGCCTGAAAGTCATGCTGAATTGAGGAGTTACGGAAAGAGAAATATAGAAACTGAGGTGTCAGATGACCACCAGATTACAGAAACCCCCCCATGTTTTGAACAACTGCACTGCTATTTTGTAATCTGTTTTAAAGGATGATATTTTATTAGAAGTGGTCTCAATTTGCAGCAGGTGGTTTTGTCAATATGTTTCCAATAAATTTTTATGTGGAATAGATCCTTTTTTGAACCTGCAAAAGGAAGACACTTAAAAGGATTTGAAGTCACAGAAATGCAGAATTTTGCTGAGAAATACATGATGTTTTAAAGGGAAGTCAAGGTACAGTTTTTATTATTACTGTCTTCTTAGCATACACAATCTGTCTTTTGACCCTCACACATTTTGATTGCTGTGGCTTCTGTGCTTTTAGAACACATTACCTTGTACAAAGTTATTTTGTAATTCAGAACTTTGTGCTAAACCCTTCAGAAGAGCAAAGGAGGGGTTGAAACTGGGTAACTACTGGTATTTCAAATGCARTTACATCTGAGTGCTAAGTATTCCAGGTTTCTTCAAAAGTCTGATGTCTTTTTAGTGGTTATGTTATGATGCGTTGACCAGTTCTGTTGTCCTTACTCCATTCTGAACTCCAGATATTGAAGAAAGTTGCATATAAAGCCTTTGCATTAAGGCCAGCTGTGTGTTTGGTAATTTGGCAGATTCAGTGTGGTCTCTTAAAGGGAAAACACAATGTTGTAGTGTCAATCTCTTTTGGAGATCCACCTACTGGATTAAAACAGTTTCTTATTTTGTGGCTTTTTAAATGAAGCAGATGGAGCACTGTTTCATTTTACTAGTGTCTAATAGTGATGTCTTCCTTCTCTGTGTATTGTTCGGTGATTTCCATGTAGAAAATATGATCATGAGGCATTTTAAATGTACTTTTAACATCAAAGTGAATGCTGGTCTTGCAGTAGTGATTGCCAACTGGAAAGTCTGTGAGTACAAAAGTTATTTTGATATTAGTGGTGTTGCATCAGCATCTAGAAATAGCTGTGTAAAAAAACAAAACAACATTAAAAAACCCAAACAAAACCCTTCAAAAGTGAAACATAAATATCTGTACTTTGGCAAGTGTTTCCAGTAAACAATCAGAAGACTTCCATTTAATAGAAATATCTTCTAGAATGCATTGCTATTTTTATTTACATCATTGCCCCCTGAATGGCATATGAATTTTTGTTGCAAGGCTTTTTCAGAACTGGTGTGAGTTATGTATTAGGAGTAATATTAATAGGTTAAGGATTTATGTGATGAGTTTTTTAACTTTTAATCACTTTGCAGTAAATTTTGTCTAGGAATTACACGCACATAAGAGTTTGAGTATGAATCCATATGTGTGTGCAAGTTCTTCAATTTGTATGCATGAGTACTAATAGGCAAAGAACTTCTGTGAGAAAAGCTGTCCACAGAAATAGGTTTCTCTTGAAAATGTGTCAGTGTAAGTTGCTGACAGGCTGAAAGACATGATGTTTTCTGACTATATCTGTATTTACTGTAATACACAGTGAATATGATGCATGGTAGACTTTAAAATGCGTTTGTCATGCTTCAACAGATAGACTAATCTTTTTCCTGGTGATTTCAAGTGGAAGTRTAGCTTGAATAATGTTTAATCAAAGGGACTCTTTCTAGAATAATAGACTGCCATAAAAAGTTTTATATTTTTTGTAGGTATTTAGTTCATCTGAATTGTGTCCTTTCTCTCTTTCTTTTTCTCTGTGCTGCTCTGGTAACCAGTGAGTGTAATACAAAAGATCTGTGTTCACCAAACAGCAGAGCTGCTTCTGCCACTGTATGATGTCCTGTGTGGTAAAGCCTACACTCCATCATCCACTGTGGCAGTATCTAACATGAGATGCCATTTAGGCASTTGACCTCAAGACAGTAATTCAGACTATCAGCTCTACAGGATTGCAAATGCTAGAATTGTCCCAGCAGAGCCACAATCTTTATTTTGGACCAAGGAGCTTCCTTCTACTCTTGAACAGGTTTTCCTTAGTGCTGCTGTTTATAACAAAAGGAGTTACAGCTGTCTGGGACAGTTATTTGCAGTATAGTCCCTGTTGGTTGGCCTGGGTGGCTGTTGTGTGTTGAGCTGCTTGGGTGCCTGAGCCCTACAGAGATGTGCCTGTAAACAAGGAACCTTGTGTCAACACTTCTGGTTGTTTTGGGAAGCAGCCTGATTCACTCAGCATGTTCACACCATTCCCAGCACGGACAAAGACATCTTAGATWTAGTTCAAGAGACGAGCAGGAAAAGTTGTCATCTTGCCCATCTGTTCATCATAATCTAGTTGACAACTTCACCCTGGAGATGAGAAACACAGCTTTTTGCCTTCTTCTGGCTTAGCACGTGGATGATGATGATTGCACTTGGCTCTCACTTCCCCAGAAAATGCTCTGACCAATGTGCTCRGGAGTATTTTTGAAGTCGCCACTTCCTGAGCCTCTTTCAAAATTACCACTGCAAGCTAAAAGTGCAACATCAAGGGGACAAAAGAGATTGAAGAAATAAAAGTGTATAAACAGTATCTGGAAGTGGGTTAGGTCTTCTCAGAAAAGCAGCTGTTGCTAGTGAGCTTCAGTGTCCTTTCACATTATTTTTTCATCTTTTTGTCCTGTTTGGATAAATACCTTAAAAATGCTCAGGGTAAAATCAGCTCTACRCAGTGATAGGAGAATTTGTTTTTTCCAGTCTGTGAAAGTCAGCAGAGAAATACACAGCTTAAGAGCAGTTTGGAATACTTTTCTCTCTTTCTCTCTTCATTGACCTTTGGGGTACAGGTTGAGGCTCATACTCTGAATGCCCTGTCTGGTATAGATTGATCGTTCACCTAGCATGTTTGACTGCCAGGTGAATTGGGATGGAAGATGATGGTTTGTAATTGTTAACACTGGTAGAGCCAATCTTGCCTCTATTGAAAATAGTGACAGGGCTTCCACCAGCTTCAGCAGCTCAAAATGAGACATTGCAGTTCTAACTCAGAGAAAATATGATGATCCTCTGAAGGTTATCAAGCATGTGCTTAAAAGTTGTGCTGAACTGGATACAGAATAGATCAGAAGATCAGTGCACAGAATAAAAATAAGGAGAGTTTTATCAGTAAGGATCTTCATGCCTTCGGCTACTTGCCAATATTCCAGAAAAACAACACTAGAGTTCTTGTATTTCTCTGACTGGTTTTATAATGTATTCTGGGATGAATTCTGTGAAATATTTCAAAATGATATTTTAAAATAGATTACATTTTAGAAGTTCCAGCCTTTCTGATGTCTCTTGCAGTTACATCAGTGAGAATCCCTGAGAATCGTGAGGTATCATGTAAATTCTTTATCATCTTATACTTCCAATTAAAATAGCAGTATTACCACCAGCACTCTGAAATAATGTGCGACTGTTAAAATACCTATTCTKTGTACCACTTTCTGTTCTATTCTTCAACAGCATGTGATTGTGATGAATGTTAGCCTATAATATGCAGCTTCTGGTGTCTTCTTTTACAAAGCATTTTAATAGTTATCCCAAATTTTAATTTAGGAAAATTATCCTTTTCTAATATACAAAATCAATATTTGTGCTAACAGTGATGCGTGATCTCAATGTGAAAAAAAAAAAAAGCCAGAAGTGCAATGAAGAAAGTTGTCTGAAGTAATGTGACTATTGAAAAGCATTTCAGTTGATTGTGAAAGTAATAGGACAAAAACGTTATTTTAAAAAATATTTCAGGATACCTTGAAAATACTTAATGGCTTTGGCTTTTGCTTTTAATATCATGTGGTACATTCCCCCTCAAAACCTAACCAAAGCCCGACTGTTCATGCAATTTCAACTAAATAAACTCTAGAGAGGATTAAATGACTATATGTGAATATGCATGTGAAAAGACCTAGTGTTGCAGCTACCAGCTGTTAGGACCAGTACATTGGAAGATACAAATTTCTATTTTTAAATTAAAATAAAAATGATTTTTTTATTTGTATAAAGTTGTACTTTTGCTGTTAACTATAATTTTGTTTTTTACTGAAATAGTTTTGTAATTTGCATTTAGAATTTTTAATGTGAAAAGGAATTTACAAAATCTAGTTTAATAAAGGATTTTTGCCACACCTATAGCCTTCTGTCTTTCCTTGAAAAACCATGTTTCAGCTTGTATAAATTTTTTTTCAAATAATAATCTTGGAGTTGTGCATGAAAGCCACTTGCTTGGCTTCAGGATACCATCTGTAGGGAGATGAAGCAACCATCTGCAGGCATAAAAAAGAACAGATTTGTGGCCTGAATTTCAGTGTTGCAAGTGGGAGTTGAATGCTCAAATTACTGAAAACGAGGGTCATGGTTTCAGATTCTTTTTTGGCCTGAAGTAGCTGAAGAGATGCTATTCCAGGCTAGTTTACTCCTGGGAGAGTAAGAGCAGTGGTGTATGTCATTGGGAGGGGCCAGAATGACCGCAGCAACAATGGGAGCTTGGGGGAGGGAGGCGTTCTGGGTAGACCTCATTTAGCAAGATCCCTTAGGGGCAGTGAGAAGTCAGATCCTGAGGAAGCAACACGCTATACCCTGCCCTGTTCTGGTTAAGTGCAGGTATTTTCCTGGGTATTGTCCTGGAAGTGTGGAAGGACACCTGACACCAAAGAGCTAGCTGTAGTCAAACCTATTTTATTAGCTCAGTTTGAGAGCAACTGCTGTGAACCAAGATGACTCCTGCAGATTCATTCCTATGGCTTCATTGCCTTGCAGCTTGGGTTGACGGCAGAAACAAGTCAGGCTTAGGGCTTTGCTGTGGAAATGCACAACTCATAAGCTGTTCAAGAGAGCAGGGAAAACAGGTTTTGGGAACACATGAAAGCTTGGCAGATGCTGGTTTAGATTTGATGTGGCTGATCCTGAGCCTCAGTTGCTGGACCACGTCATCGGTAGATGTCTGGTTGGGTGTGTGTTCCTTTCTTACAGGACTCCCTGCTCTGGCAGTGCAGCTCAAGGTCAGCTTGGGCATTAATCTCTCAAATTCTGATGTTTTAAAATGCAGGTCCTATTGCTGGACTTGCCTTCTGTCTTGAGGCAGGTCAGCTGTTCAGTGCAGAGACTGCTTAACAGAGGAGCTTAACTCCTACCCTTGCAAAAACAGTCTTGACTCACCAGTTTCTGTTTCAGGCCATGGCCTTTTTTCCTGAGTGCTGGGATGGCCCTGAGCTCCTCTCTGCTTCCAGCTGGGAGTTTGCTCTTTAAGAGCACCCTGCAGATTTCTTTCTCCCTTTTAAATAAAAGTAATAGGATATTGTCATCTGCCCTTACTTAGGAAAACTACTTGAGCTTTAAGACTGAAAAATCTGGTGTGGTAAAATAAAAATACTGCTCAAGACAAACAGAGTTCTTCAGCTCAAATTATTAAAACATAATTGAATGTGTTTTGCTGGTGGAATGTGTCAGGTAGCTTGACAATAGGTGGTGCCCTTGCCAATGGCATAGAGTGATGGTGGCAGCAGTTTTCACTGTGCCCCTACCAGAGCAGAGTTTTTTCTCTGTATAACAGGTGTTAAAGGATGTTATTAAACATCACATGCTGTTTGTTTCCTCCTCAGAGGAGAATAMTGTATTTAGAATATTCTTTTGGTGAATTTTTTTTTTCTTCTTTACTAATGGGTGGGGTAGAGTTGGTTTTCAAAATACACGCGCTGCTCTGTGCTAGAGATGGGCAAGACAAGTTCATTTTTGCATGCAGGTTTGAAAATGGTAAATGCAGAGATTTCTCCATGAGTGACCCTGGATTGGTTTTTGTAGGTTGGATGCTTGGACAGATCTGTCTGTTTGGAGACTGACACAAAGGCAYTGTGCTGTTTGGTGACATTCTGTGCTATGGTGGGTGTGGCTGGTGGCACAGTCTTCTTGAAAACCCAGATGGGGAAGGAACCGTCCTTGATGTTGCTTGACTTGCTGCATCATGAGGCCTGGCTGGGCTAGCAGTGGCTTCTAGTGGCATTAGTTGTCATCACTAAAAGTTTCCTTTTTCCTGCAGTGGCTTCTCTGAAGCAAGAATTGGGATGCATTTGTCTTCGAGGATAAGCTCAAAGGTTCTTTTGAAGTTCTTCCCCATGAACAGCACCTGTGTTTGTCCTGAATGACAGGAAATTCAGAGGATCTAAGAATCTTTGTCATCCCCTGGGCCAGCCTGCCCTGTGTCCAGGATTGCTGGAGAGCCTTTGGGGTGCTGAATCTTAGGGGGAAGATCTATGGAGGCATGTGGAAGTGCCATGCTGGAGGGACCATATTGCCAGGTGCAGGCACAGGCCCTGAAAGAGCTGTGGGGAAGGCTGGATCCAGACAGTACCAAGACCCTGCCGTGAGGAAGAAGAAAGGCCTGTTATAGCATGGGGGTCTTTATGCTGGAGGATGGAGGCCAGGCAGTGAATTGAAAGGGTGGCAAACACTAGAAAGGATCTGCAAAACCCTGATAGGAACAGTTGTTGAGTGGTGAATGGGTGGTGCAGAGGTGTCCAGASACCCTGAAGGGCTGCAGGACCATGTAGCAAGGAACCATGCCTGGGTGGGGCCCTACTGCTGGGACAGCCCATTTCCCTCATCTCCCRTGCTATCCAAACCAGCCTCTCAAAGCAGCCTGTCACTGGTATACACCATTCTGAGGTCTTGCTGAATTAAATGCAGTGGGTAGGGTCTCAGCATTCTTGTTTTGTATCATGTTCAGTTCTTTTAGCTCGATTTATGTAGCTTTTGTATTTTAAGAGTGCTACACAGATTCTTTTCTTGACTGAGAAAAAAATCAGTTTTGCAGGCTTTGTGGATGGGGCAGGGAAGACTTGCTGTTTTGGTAACTTTTGGTGAACAAATGGAGGACTTCTAACATCCATTCCACAATGGACATTTTGGAAATCCCTGCCTCTTCAAGGGCTGAAAAAAGCAACCCATATGCCCAGTGCCRCCAGAGACCTGAGACCTTTATGCTGTCATGTTGCGTGATCTTAAATTTAACTCAAGCTGTGGAAACAAAAAGGACTGAGGAAGACCACAGGATAAAAGTCACCACTTTGCTTTCTTTCCTCCCTATTGTTTTAAGCTACTTTGTGTCCCCTTTTGTCATGTTTGGTCTAAAACTTGATTTGTGTACTTGATTTGTGTACTCCTTGTGGGTAGGGAACATTTTTCATATGGCCCAGGAAAAATCTTACATGACTTGAGGAATGCTAAAATAATAGCAAAATATTAAATGCTGATGCATTTCCTTGGTGTTATCAGGATGTGCTATCTCTTAAATTTCTTTTGGCAGTAGAACATTTAAGTGGTAGTGCCGCAATGACAATTGTTMTTTCTACGTGCCTGGTAAGCAAATGCATGGATCGGTGTTATTTTTGTATTATTTGAGAAATGGGACTCTCCTTTGCAGACATCTGTGGGTGGTCATACACACTGGCCAGGAGAGCAAGCAGTGGAAGTTCTTTGCCAGTGCCACAGATTTAATCAGTTTGGTCTGTAAATGGAGAAATGGTGGCCCCATGAAGTTGGTTTGTGGCAGCTCTCCRTATCAATGTTTGCTCCATCTCAGCTAACTCACAAGGCATTGCCTTGGATTCCTACCTTGAAATCAGGGTGAAAGTAGTCTTCCTCTCCTGTGTGCCCTTCTTGCCTTTCCGGATTATCTCCTTTTACTGTGTTGCAGTGCCATATAGACAAGTTTTGGCATTTTTCAAGATAGCCATGTAAAGTAGCTACTTTGATACGCTCCGAACATCCTCGGAGGGCGATGCACTGTGGCTGGCAGAGTGGCTTCCCCAAAACAGTGCTCTGGAAGCAGTTCGGGGCACCTATGTCAGGCTCCTATTCTGAGCCTTATTTTGGGGTAATATCACCATGTTTGCGCGGGGGAGAAGGGAGCGGGGAGCAGGGTGCCCGCGGTGCCGGTGCCGTGTGTGYTTGGCGATTGCCCGGGCCCGGAGCCGGGAGCTGCCCGGACCCCCCGGCGCTGCCCGAGGGCTGTGGGCGGGAGGGGGAGCCCCGGGGAGGCTGCAGCGGGGCTGCTGAGGGAAGAGGCTCCCTCCGCCCCTTCCCTGCTGCCACACAGCGCACCCGGCGCCTCCAGGGCAGAGCCAAGGAGAAACCAGCGTCTCCCTCAGCGCTGGTTCCCTGCCACAGCGTCTGCTGGCCCGGGCAGCTGCGCCTGCAGCACCTCGGCCGCTCGGAGCCCTGGGCCAGGCCGCGGGCTGCGGTGGGGCATGGTGGCACAAAGAAAACAACTGCAGCCTTCTCCACGGTTACAGCAAAGCCACTGGGGTTGGTTTTTCATTAGATCCAGGTGGGGGACGGAAGTGTGAATGTTCCCTGGGAGAGAGAAAATTGCAGAAGTCAGTTTAGAGAAACAAATGTGGGATTGCATATTCTGTAGGTTCTCCCTTTGAAAATTAAAACAGAAAAAATTAGCTTCTTTCTTAAACAAAATAAGCACACTTCTTATGTGTTGTTTATATCTGTGGTGCTAGACATATGTGACAATTACCTTTTTTTTATAATGATCATCTAGGACAGGAGCAAGGATCGCAGTGCTAAATACAGTGGGAATCAAGAGTGTCATGGTTTACTTCCTGAGCATTGCACACACTGTGCTATCTGAGGCAGACCAAAACCAGAGCTGAGTGAACCTGAGAACAAAGGGGAAATCAGGCAGGGGGAACAGGACCAGCTTCTGCCTGTTCAGAGAGGGCTGCCCTCAGCCCCAGCGCTGCCCCGTCTGGTGGCAAATGTCTCCCCAGAATGCCAGCACAAAAAAAACACAACCAGGCAAACACAGAAAGAACCTTGTTCCCTCGATAGGGYAGATGTGTATTTTGGGAATATTTCGGGAAAGAACATTGAATTAGATCCTAGACACTGCAACAGGTTGGTGGGGAAGTTGTAACCACCCCAGCACTGGCAGTGTTCAAAGTCAGGTTGCATGAGGCCTGGAGCAAGGTGGTCTAGTGGGAGATGGCCCTGCCCATGGCTGGGGGTTTAGGACTGGATGATCTTTTAAGGTCCATTCCAACCCTCTCACATGCTATGATGGTATGATGTGACTGCTTTCATGCTAGGCTGTCCCAGAATGAGAGACGGGGGAGTTAAGTAATCCTCAGTGCAGTTCCTAAGCACGCTTCTCTTTCACGAAAGGGGATGTAGGTTTCAGTGTTGCTCTGGAGGAGAGTACTTCCTGTATATTGTCCATCAGTTCTGCGTTGACATCATGGGAGGAATTGTGCTAGGAAGTTAGGACACCAAATTCTGTGTATCAGGTTCCAAGAAAACATAAAGTATGTGAATTTTAGTTTTTTTCACATAGCCCATGTTGCTGACMCCCTGATCTCAAGAGAAATATCCCAGAGAAGTAGCTAATTGGTAACCTCTACACAGTGGGGAAACATAAAAGTAATAAAKAATCGTTCTGTAATTCAGATAGCAGAAAGCTGTGGTCTCAGAAAGCGGGGAAATCTGTGCCTGCCTTCCCTGCACAAGTGTATGGGTTTAATGTATGTATTTTCATTCTTGAAAAGAGGCTGGATGAATGAAGATGACCACACTCAAATCTTGGCACCAAACTCAAGTTTGATCATTGTTTGCACAACTCAGGGTTTTCTGTTTTGGGGCTGAGAKGTCTGTGCTGTTCAGGCATGCCCAAGTCTGAGTTGCTCTGTGCCTTGCACCCATCTCAGCACTGCACCCACAAACTGGGCAGCTCAGGGCCAAATCTTGCAGAGTTAGTAGCTGGAGGGCTGCCCTGTGGCCACCTGAAGCATAGGGCAAGATTGTCTCTGAAGGGGGAAGAGGCAATGGCAAAGGAAAGAGCTCAAGAGCTGAGTTGAGTTGAAAGGGAGAGAGAAATGAGGGTCCACATGCAGAGGGTGGCATTTCAGGCATGTTCCTTCATTTAGGCTTCTCTGTCAGGCATGCTCYAGCCTCAGTATTCTGGAGAGCTTTGACTCACCCTCTGAAGGCCTCTAGTCCTGCCCACACAATGTGTCATCAACCTGCCTCSTGCTGGATTTTGGGTTCTGTTTTATCACCACAGGCTTCAGTTTGTGCCATTTCATTACTAAACCTGAGGGGTATCTAACCCACTATATTAGTTTGCAGAGGAACCAAAGCCTAAACTCATCAAGGTATTGTAAATAACCTGTGAGAGTTTTGCCAGAATCCAAATAGGAAATGCCTGTGAGACTGCGTTTTCATTTCCTCTTTCAGATCAAGTCACAATGAGTAAAGCTGCAGAAGTTACTGTGCCTGGTCTGCTTTAGAGACTCCCTTAGCAATGCTCTCTGCCATGCTGTGAGGGAGCCTCCCTTTCTCTGAGGTGTCTGCTCCTGGGAAGGAAGTGACTTCACCCCCAGGTTGAAATGTGTCTGGACGGCCTTCGTGATTTCCCCTGTGCTCCCCAGGAACTCAAGGGAAAGCAAATAACCACATCCCATTCCCAGCACACAGCTGGCATCTTGACCACATGCATTTCATCTGCCTTCCTTTCAAAATTATACCAAAAAARCAATTAGGCTCTTCTTTCACAAAATAAGCATACTTCTTCTTGTGTGTTATTTATATACCTGGTGCAGTGACTAAACACAAGCAACAACTAATTTTCTTTTGTGTATTATAATGATCATCTAAGACAGGAGAAAGGTTTGTAGGGCTAAATACAGTGGGTATCAAGAGTGTCATGTTTACTTCCTGAGCATTGCACACACTATACTATCAGAGGGAGACCAAAATCAGAGCTGCGTGAATCTAAGAACAAAAAGAAAATCAGGCAGAGGGGACAGGACCAGCTTTCTTCCTTAATCTCAAACTCCTTACTAACATCAGCAACTTTCTTGTTTCTCCAAGGGGGACAGAAAGCAATGGATTAAGAAGAAATGTGACCTTTCATTGTCGACTGACCCATGTCAAAACATGGGTAATGTAATTTTACATAATTTCTTATAAACCTTTAGTTACCTGTGGTTTAAGACTTTATTTTTTGCTATCAGCCTACTTTTCAATGCAAAAATAAATTGCAAGCCTTCACTCCGCCCCATAAATATTTTCCACAACAAAGTGTTTGCTTCTGAAAGTTCCAGATAATGACTCATAATGAGTTTTAAAAAAAGGAGAAGCAATGTACTTTGTAAGGTATTAACTATTCTCTCACAGCCAGATGTTCCCCTTCATTGCACAGGACAAAGAGGTGAAAAGGACCAGAAAAACTGCAGTAAGGAAGACAAAAAAAAAACTCCAGACCAACCCAACAAACAACSAAGGATCGAGAGAAACAGGTCAGGTGTCAATTTTACCTCTAACTTTGGAATTAGCTACATGTACAGAGTGCATGGAGCTGAGAGTCTTTTGTTGGCTTTCCAGGTCTCTTGGAAGTGAAATAATGGATCGAATGCATGAAGCATGTGTATTACTAAGAAAGGTATCAAATAAATGAGATGCAACTATTTTGGGGATGTTATTAGGTCAAGATCCTTCAAGGAAACATAGTGGAGGGAAATGGGTGGAAATCTAGACATGCTAGAACATGTTTCTTACTCTACAGTTTTGTCTCTTTGCTGAGTTCACTCGGTTCAAAAGTTGTTTATGAAGTATTTTACAGATGGATGCACTCTTTTTCCAAAATGCAAACTACTTAGCCAGATGGCTTCACATCTGGATTAATCTCAGCACGAAACAGAGAAGAGAAGTTGCATTTTTAAGCATCTGCTCTTTGAAATAAAGACCTAAAATTGGTGATGACTACCAAAGACATTTATATCAGTATAATTTGCAAATAGTATTTATTTCTCTACTTCGGGCAGTTCTGAATGTGTCTGATGGAAACATTTCAAAATGTTTGGGTGTCTGATTTGCTTTATCACAATTGCAATGGAAACTTACTGCCTGATTGCTTACGCTGGTATTGGGAAACCCAAACCCAGTTAAAAACAGACAGATGTTTAATGTGAAAACTAAGTAACGTAAGTTCCCACATAAACTGGTGGTGCGCTGAAGCCCCTTATTCAAAATCTTGTCTCAAACTAAAAGGAAGATTGAAGATTTTAAGAAGATAAGATTCCCAGAATGCTTTCTGTGAACCTTTCTTACCTTAATCACTGATTGTTAACTGGAATAATTTCATTCCATAGGGAAAAGAAACAACTTGATTCCCCACCCTAACTGTGCAGTACTATTCTGCAAGCTTTGCATCAGCAGGTTTACAGCATGTTTAACATAGGCRATATTCTTTTTATATTTTTGGCACAAACTGCCTATAACACATAAATTATATTTTTGTTTCCTTTTTGCATTATCTTCTAAATTATTCTGTTGGTTTTTAATCTTTCTTGGGAGCAGTATGACTTTATGCATTGTACTGTCATAATATGGACCAATTCATTAACTGTCTTCAGAGAGTTTCCATCCTTCAAGGAACATAAAATGTTTTGGTTTTAGATCTGGATCAGGCAGTCTKTTCCTACTGTTTCATGGCTAGAGATGGTCTGAGATGGCTTCACTAAGCCCAAAATGTTTGCTTTGGAGGAGTTGGTTTCCCCTTCTGTGCCTCTGGGTTTCAAGGCTGCTTGGGAAGCCATTGCTCACGGCTCTGCCTGAGGATCAGACATTGCACTGCGCTGGTCATCCGGGCCCCTTGTGTTCAGCTCTGGGGCAGCTCTCCTGCGGTGCYGGTGCACTTTGGTTGCTTCAGGAGAAGGGGACTGCTTCAGGGAGTGCCCTCCTGCAGTCTGATTGCCTGATCATACAAAGGGGGCAACCTCTTGTGCTGACAGCTCCTTGAGGATAGACCACAGACACTTGAAATCCTGAAACTACCCTCACAGCTTTGCTTTCAGTGTTGTGGTAGCTGGAAATTATGAGAATCTGGCCAGCTCAATTTGTCTGTTCTGGGAAAGGTGGGAGTCTCAATGTTTGCAGTCCCTCCACCTGCTCAGCCTCCTTATGCTGGTAGAAGCAACAACATGTATGCTGATWAATGATACTACTGATCAATCCAAACCAATGCATCAGAGGCATCCTGACCAAATTACAACAAAACCATGTAYGCCAGTACTGAATCAGCCCAAAGAGCCTGCCTTGCAGTTAAACATGCATATTGTCCTCTGTAATGGCAGGGCCATATTCCAGGCTGCAGGAAATTATCCCAAATGTTATTCCTGCTACCAGAGTGCTACCATTGCACCTAGGCATGCCAGGCAGTTGTGGATCTGCTCCTTTTCTCCTCAAGCTGCTGGGCTGTGCCGTGCCATTAGCCCATGTAGCAGGGAGGAGGCAGCTGTAGGAGCAGCAGAATGCAAAAATAAAGCTTTCTGCAGCCTGAAGGGTTTGCCTTCCTCCCCCATCTTCAAGGTTCCCCCATCTTCCTCCCCCATCTGCTCCCGTAGTCACTAAAGACAGATATACCAACTCATACCAACCCACAACAAACCCACACAGGCAGAGCTGCGAGGCTCTCACCAGGAAGCTGACTTACCCTAAACCTCTCTACTCTTTCTCGTCACACTGCCTCTGGGTTTGCTGTCACTGCTGCCTCCAAATGAGCTAGACTCAGTTGCCAGGACTACTTTGGCCTATATGCGCAGGGGTCTCTGGTTACCTTTAGAGCTTTTGGATTTTTTTTTTGKCCTCTCAATAATATAATTGTTCTAATCTGCTAAAAAAGAAGTTTATCTGGAAAAGCCAAGGTCACAGAACACTACTCTTCTTTTTTTTTCCCCGTCTCATCTAGGATAGCTGACTTCTGTCACGTTTATTTTCAACAGCCGCTTTCAGCTTCCTGCCTCTGGTGAGTTAATCGCATTTTCTTTTTTTTCTTCCTAGAAATCTTGATGTGAGCTGATATTTTGAATCAAATTCAATATATTTTGGTTTACTTTTGTTAATTACTTTTATTAATAAGTTTGTGAAACTCGTTCATGTAATCAGTTTTACTTTTCATGCCATCTGTTAAACTCGCAGTATTGTGATATACAATTAAACACTGGTCTAGGTCTTGCATTTTCTGGATTTTCATTTGTTCCAGAGTTTTTTTTCACTTCAGCCTAAAAAGATCTTATATGAAGTAGAGAGAGGGGTGTGATGGGCTGTGCCATGCCAGTTTCTTCTATGTTATGTGATATAAAAATAACAAAAAAATGAGAATTACTCTCAAAATGGTGGATCTGAATCTGATTCTCTTTTCTGTTGTGTGAACTATGAACCCAGGAGTGACACACATRTGTAAATCTGCAACACTTCAAGGGATGGTCTTCTTCCTCATTTATGAAGTACATCATGCTTATGAGAAAACTGTTCTGCTTCATCTTAAATATTCCCAAGCAAATTTAGGTGAAGATTTTATTGTGAGAATTTGAGAGATGTGTTCTTAGGACTGGAGTGAGATTCAAAATATTTTTAATTTGCCAACATATCTCTTGCTGGCTCTGGCGCCCGCAGCTGCCTGGCCCTGCTGGGTCTAACAAGTGCCTGTGCCACCTTCTGACATGGAAGATTGGMATCTAAATGGCCATGTCTGTAACTCTTCGCATTCAGCTCATTCCCATGGCTTCTCTGCTTTCTGAGACATCTGTGGCAGTGCTGATGGTATGGGGTCCCCTTAGAGAGCAGTATGTGTGTGCGTGCATGTGTGCACATCTGTGCACACTCATTTCCAGATTCTGCTCACAACACTTGCAGCTTGTGATGTGGCAATGGGATGGTCTTGACTGGTCACGAGATATATTTAATCTGAATGGTGAATGAGGATAGAGTACTCTGTGGCTGCAACCATCTCTCTGAGACAGGTCCCTGCAAAAAATCAGAATGTGAATTTAAGATTTTCTGACTTCTGCTTTCAGCTGTGTTTCCACCTGTGGATGGGGCAGGAGTGGAGCTGTGGCATCTGGCAGAGGTTAGCTTTAATGTGGGATTTATCCTGAAGAAGATAYTTGCAGAAGAAAAAGGTAGGATGAGATAAGTTAACAAGCTTATCTCTCAGCAAATTTTGGTGTCTATTGCTGTTGGAATAAGGTGGGATTGTGCTTTATATTGTGCTGCTTTGTATTTCATATTTTCAACCCCACCATTTTGATCGGTGTGTGGTGTGTTTGCGATTTTCCAGTAGGAAGTACCGTATGTGTATACTCAAYTTTAGAATGGGCTTTAACGTAACTTTTCAGAGAGAGGTCTGAAAATCGATCAGACAAATGAAGCCAAATCTACCAGAGAAAGTGGGTACAGACTTTGTGTGAATACCACATTTGAGATTTGGGTAGTAACTGCAGGGTCCAAAAGCCACATGTACACTTGCTTCCTGCTAAATTGAGATAGTACACCTTGGTGAGGCATGATACCAAGTTTTATATTCTCTAGATTAGGTGCTGCAAGCCAGGAAAAATTGTAGTTTTTTAGTTACAGAGAATTGGTGTTGTTACAAGTAATCTGTACTTACTAAGTTCCATAGTGAATAATTAAATGTTAAAAAGGGTTTGATTTTTGTGTATAGCAAGACACAAATTCATAGGCCATCAGCAAGGTAACATGGCTGTAAAGTACTCTCATTTAATCCCATTTTAAGGTAATTTTACTGTGCCAAAGCAGTGTGAAATCATCTTACAGCAGAAGAGCATCATGCCACAAAATTGAGAGACTGATGCTAAGCTGAAGTCGCATTGCTAATAACAGCTCTAGTGCCAGTGATATTAGGGAGGTAATTGCTTGTACAGTGAGGGGCAAGCCATATAAATGCTCAAAGATGTAAGTGGGTGATCTGCAGCACACCCAGAGCACACAGGAAATGAGCAGCCACTGTGCGGTCTCACAGGCTGCGCCCGTTTTGTAGAGCAGCGGGTCTGCACCAGCAGAAGCTCCCAGGGACCTTTCCTCAGTGACGCTTTCTGATAATCAGCCAGAAGAATATCCAGCCAGGGAGATGAAATTCTGCTGTTTCTCCTCTTGCTTTTACTGTTCTAGATGTATAGCAGCAGGTGGGTTAGGTACTTTAATGTTAAAGATTTTCTGAAAATTAGCTCTTTACTCCCTCTTTTCTTTATGAGATGTTGGTGCTGTGATTCTATAATTTTCACTAAGAAACAGTAGAATGTTACTGAATGCACCATTCAAGTGATTAATTTGATTGACATTGGCCATAAAATGAAAAATGGCAGGTTTTTCTATAGTGCTTTTGATTATTGTTTGAAAAGAGATAAAAGCAGTAACAGCAAAACTTGCCTTTTCCAAAGTCTTGATGTAACATTTCAGACATCACACCACACAGCTTAACATCATTCCCAAATTAGCTTCTCACTTTTTGGCGAGTGGTGTGTGGTTTTATTAAATCTGCTGTTTTCCAATGTTTCCATGCTATGACATAGCTTACAGCTGAAAAATATTTTGAGATAACCCCAGCATTGCAATTAAGAAAGGAAGTTGGCTGCAGCTGTCTCAAGCCCGCTGTTAAAGCATTATGGTCTTTAAATACTAGACTGGATCACACAAACACAACAAAGCCATATAACAACAAAATTTGTGGGCTGTAGCCTACCATTAGCTCTTCTCCACAAAACTAAGTAGAGTTTCATAAGTGCTTAGCAGAATTTAGTTGTCATTCAATTTTTATGTCAATGAACTGGAAAACCTTCCCAATCTACCAGAAGGATCAGTGTACAGTGAAGGGGAGGCTTCTGGAACCTGCAAAACCTCTGTAAGGTACTAGTGAGCATGAGTACTGGAAACCATGGCTACAAAACCTTGGTGTATCAGGTTTAATCTGAGTAGCTGGCAAAGTGTCAGGGAGCAATAGTCCCATCAGTCACTTTCTGCTGGAGGCTGTGCTGGAAGATCACTGACACTGCTGGCAGGGTAGCTGAAGGATAGCTGGGAACACGGTCTGAGCACTTACTGCATACATGTATTCCTCACAGAGCAGGCACAGGAGTGGTTTGTGCCCAGCCTTGTTTGTGGCCATGCCCTATTTACTGCAGACCTTTTATTGTTCCCCCTCTGCACAATTCCCTGCTGCTGCATCTGCACTGTRTTTTTGCACGAGGAATTGCATTTGACCTTTGGTTACAGAAGCCAAGGAGAAGCGTAAATTCCTAAGGGATGAGGATGGGGCTGAACTTGGAGTGCTTCTCTTTACCTGACAAAATGTACGAACCTGCTGGAAACCACACGATGATTCTGCTATGGTTTGGGAATTTTCCTKATGGGAGCCATGGTGACCTGTCAAATAGGAAAGACCCAGCATGTGCTGGAAAAGAGCAAACACCCCTCCTGGCAGAAGCTGGCACAGTGGGCTGTGGTTACATAGCGTGTATGATGCCACTTCTCGCACACGAGTGTGAGCGTGGAGTACCAGTAACTGACACTTGCCAGCTTGAGGTTTGTGTAACCATCTGGTGATACCACTTTTTCCTCATGAGTGACAGTGAGGTACTTTTGAAGGTTAGACTGATTTATGTCAAAATATAGCTATAACTGTATCTCCTACTATAAAAGTGTGAGACCAAGACCCCTGGGTTGTCTCCTGTGCCATGGTCATTGAAAGAGTATCAAGCCTCTCAAACCTGCAAGAGAACTGTTCTTACTGTCAATGATAGGCATGCCAGTGGACACACAGTCTTCAGCTTGCCTTTCTTTTTCCTTTAAATGACTGTACTTAAAAACTGGTAAAGACTTAAGAGTTCGAAGTTACTGAGCTACTGATATACTCAATTATCTATTAATTAATCTCTCTATTAATTATCTATGTAATTATCTGTGAGCCTGTGTTTTTCTCACTGTAAAAATATATTATGAAACAGCTGTTGTAAAAACCCTTCATGTAGTTTTTTAGTTTCCATCCATTTAAAAGCAAGTTTTTAAATTCACATCTCTTTCAGTGGAATCTTAATTCTGGATGAAAAGCTGTTGGATAAAATATCTCTGAGTTTGAATCAAGTCCACTGGGATTCAAAAATAAAGCAATTGTTCTCATAATGTTCAAACATCTCTCTCCTAAAATATCTCTCTTTTCATATGTGTGATAGTTTTCATTCAAAATATGTAAAAATCAAGAAAATTAAGGACAACTTTCTATGTTTCCCACTGAAGAACTTTTTGCCTTAAGATTTACCATAGCGTGGGGATTTGCATGATCTGTAAACCAACTGAAAGCTAAGTAGCTATAAATGTATGAAATGACTTCTGAAAATATTCAGCTGAAGAATGAGTGAGAAAGATTTATATATTACTTTTGGTTGCAGCATCTTTTCTCCTAACCTATTCCATATAACCCACTGCTCTCTGCAGTATTCTGTGTTTTTTATATAAAAGAGATCAAGGTTGTAATGGAACCCGAGAAAAGTAAAGGAAAATGGGCACTAAAATATATATTYTGCTCTGGCATATGGTTGGTGTAAGATATAAATCAATAGAAAATCTGAGCTACCAGGTATAACTTGTGCTAATTTCACAAAAAAAAACCCCAAAAAACAAACAAACAAAAAAAACAAACAAAAAAACCCCATATTCCTTTGAAATTAAGCTTTAATCATGACTATGCATGGAACGGAGGCAGTTTGATGAAAGCAAGTATGCATGCCCATTTATTTTATCTGATTTAATCTGTTACAGTTAAGGAATTCTAGAGAGGCTGCATGGTGAGAAAAAAAAATCCTGCTTGTAGTGCAGATATGTATTTTCTCTTATTTTATCCTTGTGCTGGATATAGTGCATAAATACTGAGTCATGGCACAGATTGTGGAAGGCAACTCCTTTTTTAATTTATAAAACAAATCAAAAAGATAAAAATCATAAATCAACAAATGCAGGACAAGTTACAATAAATGCATGTTTTGTGGAAGACAACTCCTTTYTAATTTATAAAACAAATCAAAAGGATAAAGACTTTAAATCAACAAATGCAAGACAAGTTATGATATTTACATGTTTTGTATCGCACCTATTTGAAAAGTAACAGAAATTATTTCTAAGCAAGCTCTTCAGATTTTTAACATTTTCATGTACATGCRTGCACACAAAATTTAAGAATTATATTAAAGATGGCAGTTTTCCACTGTGTAAAATCTAGACTATGATTTTAAACACTCTAATATATACAGAGTCGAGAAAAAGGTTTTTGTTGGTGGCAGTCCTAAGGGGAAAAAGCTGAAATTATCCGGGAGTTTGTGTGTCATAAAATAAATAACCAACTGAATTGTTGTTGCTTCCTTTTCTAGTTCTGCTCATTAAYTTCCAAAGGTTAACATTCGTCACAATGAAATGAGCAGTGACATGCAGTAAATGTGAGTTCTTCCTAAATTAAAACTAAATCAGTATGTTTTAGCAAGAGGTCATTACTGTGAATTGTTTGATCAACTGAAATATCATTATACTACTCAAAACCTTGTGCATCCAACACATTTTATTCTTATCACAAAATACACAAAAATAATCTTCCGTGAAACATTGGCTAGTTCTATTGTAACATTTTCATCCTCCACCTTTACCTCCCACTGACACCAAAYCTGTGCAAATAAATAACCTAATGAACATGGAGAACCTCCTTCTCCTCCTGCTGATATTAGAGGGATAAGATCTAGACTAGAGAATCTCTTTATTTTGTGATAGGCATTTTATAAAACCAGAGCAAAGTTAAACCTGAAGAGATTTATGAATGTAACATTGGGCATCTTGCAAGGGAGTCATTGAGGAAAATGGATAAATGGTAGGGTGATTCTTTTAAGACGTTTTAATATTGAGGAGTGTGTTATATCACCTGTATCATTCATATTAGCTTTTAGCTATACTGTTACTATTGATTACTTCGTAGTGTTTAAGGGAGTCAGTCAAGAAGATCAAGTATTGTGCAAACAAGATAGAAGAGTGCAGTCSTACCCCAGGTTAGAGCCAAAACACAGAAGTCACCCCTCTCCCCTGCAGTGGGCTTGGCACAGGCTCTGAAAGAGAGGAAGCCCCTTTG